CCTGCTGCTACCACAATTACAATTTTACTGTAAAAACGTGGGTTTTTTTCCCTTTCAGATATGGACAAAATATTTAAGCAATCATAACTAAAATGCTCCTCACAATTTCATGTTGTCACAAGGATCAACCACATAGACCCTTACATTTCAAGCTCCAACAACGACTGTCTACAGAGTTAAAAAATAAGAATAACTAACTTCTTATCTGCTGCCTTCTGATTTTGAAGCCCACTGAAAGAAAGATCTAAATGTTGTATTTACATGCTGACATTTAACCTGGAAAAGCAACACATGTGGCCATCTGGCACCCTGTTGATCACTCCCGCAGTTCTTCTAACTCTTGCTGTAATCACCAGCAGTCCTGCATACACAAACAGTACAGGCTGGGGCCCTGACGTTTGAATGAGGAACACTCGAATGTCATGATTTACTCTTACGCAAACGCAACTTTGTTGGAAAAGGATGATAATATAGACGTGAATTATCTTTAATTGCTATTTGAATTTCATTTTTTTTTAGTCTAGCACACAATAAAGGGGTTTTCAAGGAAAAACAGAATTTTCCTTTTAAACAACATTTTCAGTGTTCAACTGATTACAAAGTGCTGAGAGCTGAAGCTTCCAAACTCCTCCCAAAAGTGTAACACCAAAATAAAAAAATCCTAAGAGTTGGCAATGACAACTACTTTCAGAAGAAGGCTTCACCAAAGCCTCTTTGATACTGGAAGGGTTTTGTCTGTTGTGACACAGTAGAACAAATCTTACTCCTCAGTCTGAGTTCAAATTTTTTCACTAGAGGTGACATACATGAACCCTAGGAAGGAGCACGTATCAGTGTGAGGAGGGGATTGTCATGTCAAGGAAGTCTTCTGAACCAGGTGTTGGAAGCTTTGTTCTGTGCTGCATACCTTTAGAAAAGAGAAGAGACTACCACTTCTGGTAAAATACAAAACTTTGGGTAAAAAATTATGGTGAAAGACTTGATAATTATATCCTTATGACCCACATAGTAAGGGGTTCATCTAAACACATACACCTGAAAGCAAAATTGTATTTCTTGAACTGATGAAAGTGGGTCACAATTACAATTCAGGGGATTTCCACGCCTCCCTCCTGCCCCAAAAGATTATGAAACTACGAAGTAAATTAAAAAAAAAAACGCTCTGCTAAAAATGGGCACTGCTGTGGCTAAGAGAGTTGTAAATGTAGCTTTGAGCAGGAATAAGGTGATGTGTTACACTGGTATTCAGCTTTAGCAGGTTTCTTACTACAGTAAGATTCCAGTTTTTCTGTCTACATTTTAGAAAAGATGTTGGAAAATTGGGAAGTGTTCAGGAAAGCGTTACAAGAATGATTTCAGGTCTGGAAAACATCCTTTGTAGTGAATGACTAATGAAACTCCATCTGCTTACTTTTTCCAAGGGAAGTTTTTCCACGACTGTCATAGCCTACAAGTTGCTACATGGGGAAGAGTCGTCTGATAGATTAAATCTTGAAAAAAACGACATTCAAAGACTGAAAGCTAAAGCTGTGCAAAAGCTAAATGAGAAACAAGGCAGAGGCTGGTAAATCTGATGGCAATGAGATGCTGGCATAATTTTCAAATACGGTGGAATTACCATTACTTGGGGTAATTTTTAACAAAACTAAATATCTAACTAACAGGGATGCTCTGGTTCAAGTAGGCTTATTGTCCAGAGGTAGACATTACTTAGTGAGGTTCACTGCCTATATTACAGAAGAGACAACACTAGATAAATATAATAATAGCAAAATTGAAATATAGGAATTTATCTTATTAACCTCAGTCAATCCTCTCCTTACTATTCCAATGAACCCTGGAGCACTGTGCTTGCAGCCTCTCGTGCTGGAACCAGCTTTGTCTTATTATTGCCTTGGTGCTCTGTCTCTAGCTGTTCTCTTGCATTTCAGACTCTGCAAGTCTTCCTGGGCTGTAAATCAGCTTTCCCTTCTGTACAGCTTCTCATGCAATTATGCGCTCACCCATGGCTCCAGGAATTAGGGTTGGTGAGCACTACTGTAGCATATCCAGGTAAATAATATTTTCAATGGTTATTTCAAAAATATTGGCATTCTTTCAAATATTACAGCATTTCATATATTATAGTATGATCACATTTACTCATTGAATTTTAAAATACAAAATCAATACTATTTAGAAACCCCCCCCCAACAACTTGAAAACACAAATGGAATATTACTTGTTTTGTTACTTTCAGGAGTAAGATTCTAATTTTTATCTATTTCTAAAAGCTCAGATCTATATCAGCTGAACGCATTTGGAGGTGGGAGAGGCACTCAGCTTTCTGGCACCCTATCTACAGTGGTTGTGTAAGAGCACGATTAATTCATTAATAAAGCATAGCTTTATACAATGGGTAGCACTGGAAATATTACATATCAAGAGCACCAAGTGTCTGACATGTTGCACAGAAAAACCTCTGCCAGTGTGCCAGAGCAAGCACCAAAACAGAGCTGGCGGCAACCAAAATAGAGTAAAAAATTTTTAACAAAAATTTTAACAAAATACATTTATTCTTCGGGCTCTGTGTTAAAGGCGAGGGGCAGGGGTAGAGCGCTTGTGTAATAATAACAGCTTTGGCTAGCAAAAAAGCAACTCCAGCAAAAATTGCTGAGAAGAGTCTAAATCCTTCCTGCTAGAAAACAGCACCTACTGGAAACAGTGGGATCTGGGGAGGGCCAGGACAATTTACACTGGCATTCAGTAGTTAGCGTTAAGTGCATAAGGTCACTTATTAACAACATATAGGTTTTAACAACTGCTGACTGCAAGGAGGTGTGTTACTCATATGACTGCATCATGCCTCCCCTCCTCCTCTCCAAAGAGTGATCAAAGAGCAGAGATTCCAAATTGTGAAGCAATTTTTTCCAACGGGAGCATCTGGGTCGTTGGCACATTTCACCGCGCGTTACGCTGCAGCTCAGGAATTGCGTCCAGGTCTGCCACATGGTTGGGCTCGTGATGGACAGGCCAAGCTGCTCTGGCTTCCCAGCTGCTCGGCCCCTTCCACTCATTAGCCAGCCTCAAGCGCTAATACCCTCGCATCAATTTGTGAAGGG